TAGATTCGATTCCTTATATTTATACTTAGATGCTTTAATGAATATTCTGTCACATCCCCGAATGAAAAAGTAACTTCTCTTTTAAAAAAATTAATCCAATTCTGGGAAGACTAGCTGTTGGAACCATGGGGGTCATAATTCTGGCACTACTAATCACCTTGTTTTTTTTAAAAAAACCCTTGATTTCAGGAATTACTAATTAATATAAAATGCTCTCAGCCTTAGCAGTGCTGGTCCCAAAAGCTTAACATAGTGGCAAGTGGCGAGCATCTTAGAATTCACTGAGAACTGTCTACATGCCCTTGCGTATTCCCAGCCTCGGCTCTTCCACAAGGCAAACTGAAAGAGCTTACTGTTCCCAAGGACAATCGGGTCACTGCTGCCAGATAGGATAACCAAAGATCAGTCAACGGGGAGCATTCGCAGAGCCAAACATTTTCCAACCTGCTGATTTTCATGAACTATTTCCAAGGTTGATTCAATACATGTAATTTTAAAAATCTCATTGGACATGATAAATGTTGCCATTTACTGTGTTCGACTCTGAGAATGTTCAATATGACACAAGGCAAAAACCAAGGCCTGGGAAATTTTGTTACTTGAGAGTTTATCCTTGGGAAAGAAGTTGGGCCACATTTCTCATTCTGCTTATCACCTTGGGAGGTTCTCGGAGTTTCTGAAAGGGTGTGGCTCTGTTGGGCAGCTCCGTAAGACACGCAGGCTGCCTCCATAATGCCCAGGCCACTAAAGAGCAGGCAACACTTCTAACGAAGAATGTTCACTCAGGGAACCAGCTGTCGCCTACGGTAGAGCTCACTAATCTTCTGTCCTTGGAAGGATGGCACTGCGCACTTCATTACTATGGAAAGATGAGGCCATCAAAGGCAGAGCTGATTCCACCCATCTGGACTCTACCCTGTGAGCCCATTCACGAGCCTCTGCCGCACAGCGCACAAGGTGACACCTCACGGGTCCATCTCCACGTAAAGGGGAAGCTCTAAAAAATCAGCGTTGGAAGAGGGGGAAAGGAGAGATATTAACATACACTGAATGTGAGGTTCCAGCTGAGCGACTTTACATTATTTTCCACCCCAAGGGTAACATTTTCCATGACTATGGTTTAGAAAACCAGATGTTCAATTTTTTTCCTTTTTCCAAAGCATTTGGACGCACATGATCTCAGCGCAGCAGGTTTTCGACTAAGTGGAAATCAAGAAATACTATTTGAGTTAACCACAGATGCTGTATAGTACTGACTGCCAATATCTCTTTTAAAAGTAATGACACTGGTCCAGCCGCAGGGTTGTGCGGCAGGGAAGAGAGACAGATTTGTGAACCCCGGAGTGAGGTTCTGCCTACCCCAGGCCATGGCTGTGCGGAGACCCCGGGAGAAGCCACCACTGTGTCTGACCAGGAGGCAAAACCTTCACCTGAAGGCTTGGGGGGGTAAGAAGGGAGGCGAGCACATTAAACTCAAAGTCACTGGACAGGATCACTGTGAGATCCACTTCAAATGAAAATGACGACACATCTCAAGAAACAGAATCGTTCTGTCGAAGGCAGGGCGTTCCAGTGACTTCGCTCCGGTTTCTCTTTGGAGAACAGAGACTGCTGGCAGTGATACTCCCAAAGAGCTGGGAATGGGGAAGAAGGCGTGACCGGCGTTTATCAGGAACCCTGGGGCGTCGGTCAACGGTTTAGATATTCGTTTTCCTCTCTTCCCTCAGTCCACTTTTCTTTTAAAAAGTAGCTCTTTTGTAATGTGGTGTTCAAAATGGAACTGAAAACCGGCACCCATTTCTTTAAAACACCTGGCAATTGGAATTCCAGTGCCCATTATTCACTATTGTTTGTTTTCGTTGTGCTGATGACTGGTGAGCAAACCTCAGCCTCCCTCAGATCGCCCTCTCCTTTAGAAATATTACATGTGTGCACAGGGAGGCCACCTTCTCCAGGACCGTGCATTTGCAGGCTTGTGAGAACGCAAGTGCTCATAATGACTTCTAACCGGCCCCGAAGTCCTAGCCTGGGATGGCTTCACTCCTGGACTGACTTTCAGTGGGAGATGGGAAAACGTCCTTTCCTTAACTTGAAGCTACTTTTAAAATCTGAGGGTCTGGGCAAAAAGAAGAGGAATATGAGACTGGAGTCAAGAAGACCAATAAGGTCAGAGTAAAGGCTAACAACGATGGCTTCACTACAGAGAAAGCATTTGGAGAAATCTTGTCAGAAGACCCCAGAAAGTTCTGATTTTCATGAGCCATTAATAAAAGTTATCTGTGTAGAAGTGTGTACAACAGAACACTGCTCTTTTTTATTTTATTTGTACTTTTTGGCCTGGGAAATGGGTTTTAAATGGACATTGTCTGTGCCAGCTTCATTAAAATAAGCAAAATATTTGTTAAAAAAAAAAAAAACAAAACCTGGCAGACTTTAAAGGATTATTTTGCAAAGTAGCATTTTATTTTCTAAGTCATTGTTGGAAATTCATTCCATGAGCTAAATTCTCCCCATGGACGCTGGCATTATGACGAACTTCCTAATAACTGTAATTAAAAGCTCCTTTGAAAATTCCTCTTTCTTGAGTCATATTAGTCAGGGAAAATGAAGGCTGGATGGGGTGCAGAGAAAACAGCTCTTCAGAGGGAGCACTTGCAGCTGCTTGTTAGCATGGAGGACCTCTCCGTTCTGTCCAGGGAAAACCCAATGTGCACTTGACATAGCAGCAGACTGGTTTTGAACTACGAAAACTGCTATTTAGTAAAGTAGCAAATGACGCACATATTTTGTTTTTCATGTACTTGGCAATATAAATAAAATTACATCTGTCCCTTTTTCCCCCTTTGAATGAGGCTGCCCATGTTTGAAAAAAGTCTTGCACTATATTTTGGGTACACAGATATTTAATAGTTTCCATTTGGGGGGCCCTAAAAATTTTTCTTTTTCCTGTTTAAAACACTTTTTACACTTTTAGGGGTATATAGTACTTGAAGTTCTTACCAGAAAACTACTTGTGCATTTGGAAACCTTTATTCAAACTACTTTTAAATTAGTGGTTTATTGTCAGTATTTTTTTATAGTGTATTTTCCATTTACTCTCTTCTTTCTTTCTTTCATTTTGTATAGATATAAAAGTTCCAATCTAGGATATTGCCCTGCCACTCATGAAAAATGTTCTGGCACCAAAAGTAATGACAAATGTCAAGCATAATAGAAAATTAGAGCAAAGAGCCATTCAGCTTCAGTCTTTACATACCATGAATAAATCATTAAAACATCACATGGAGAAGTTTACATGGTGATTGTTCACCTGCAGTACTGTGGACATTTTGTTCCCTTTTTGGTGGACCAGAGTGAAAATATTCATGTACCATCCCTGTTACTTGCTGATATTTTTTCTTTTATGGTAATAGTCTATCCTTATGACACCACTGCAGCCAAATTGGCTTGACCATCCTGCTTTAGTTGGTATAGGAGACAATGATACCATCTTTATTGCTGTAACCTGGTAAGCATTATATGCTAATAGAATCTAGTTAAATTGTTTCAGGTGAAAAGTATTCTTTCAGTTTCCAGTTTGAATGTGTTTGGATTAAACAATAAATTACTAATGCCTGCAGCAAAAAAAAAGAAAAAAAAAAAGAAAGAAAGAAAAAAGAAAGCAGCTCCTCCGTTGTGAAAATCTTATTTGTATATGGAGAGAAAGCGGTAAGTGCAGAGGGGAAAACACACATTTCCCCCAGGCTGTGCTCAGACCTCACCACTCTTCCTCATTTGGATCTGAGCCCAAGTGCTGATGACAGCCCTCTCCGCTGGCCCTGAGGCTCTAGGCTGAGGGAGGGGCTGCAGCTGTGGCCTCGGGGCACAGGGAGTGCCCAAATATGTTTGTGCTGGAGCGGCCACAGCCCACACCCGCCCTCCCAGGGTGACTCCAGCCCTGCCCCTCCCCCCAGAGCCAGGGTCCAGGGCTGGGGCCTCAGGCTCTGCTCTGTGGAACCCTCGGAGAAGCAACACAGGGTCCACAAAGGCTCGGAACAGGGAGTCGGGGAGCGAGGAAGCTTTAACACCCGGTGCCTTCGAGGGTCTCACACTCCAAACCCACCACAGCTGCTGTTTTGTATAAAACTGCAAGAAATCTGGGTGGTATCAATAGTCTTCTTTGGCTTATTAAGTAAGGTTTATCTTCTTAATAGTTAATAAACATGGCCTTTGGTAACAGCAATAACTACTTAATATTTACACTGAAAGCCCACCTCTCTTCAATGCTTTACTTTTTTTAAGTGTCATCAAATATTTTTATATTTCAAGTGGCCCCAAAAGGATCTGAAACACTTTACATGCTTGGAATATTTTTTAAAAAGTACTTGTTCTTTCTTCCTTACGCATTAAGTTACTGAATTAGTGATACTGTCAAGTGCCCATTCGCTAAGCATCAACACAGAAGCCCCGTACTTTCATTTTTCTGCATGATGAATGCGCGGCACTCGGTATTGTCCCCTCCGTGGAAGAATGGTCAACTTTCATAAGGCCTCGGTCCACTCTACAGACTACTTTCCTTCTCTCTTTCTGTGGCACATTTGCTAGCGTTGAGGGGACACAGCTGATCTGCTCTCACTATGGTCCTTATTTATACATGTAAGCCAAATGAATTAATGGGCTGACGCTAACATGCAAGCCTTAACGATGTGATTTCTAGCAAAAATACAGCAACAGGTCAATCTGTTTAATAATTAATAAATGTGGCCTTTGGCAACACTAATAATTACTTAATATTTACACTGAAATCTCACCTCTCTCTATTTTTTTTAAGTGTCATCAAATATCTTTATATTTCAAGTGGCTCCAAAAGAAGCTGGAACACTTGACGTGTGTTTACAGGCCACCAGAGAAGTTTTCTGTTCTCCAGAACACCGGCCCATGATAAAAATGATACAAACATAGATTGGGAGTCTTCCCTCCCAGGTGCGGGCAGAATGGGGGGCTGGAACCTCAGCACCCACCTGCCCGTGTGGCTGTCCTCCATCGGCAGGCTGCACCCGAGATCCGTGGTTGCCGACATGCACAGGGGAGTGTGGAGAATGCTCCCCCACTGAAGAGCCACAGCCTGGACTGTCATCGTCTCGCTTAGGGCCATCCGCCTTTGGGTCCACCTGGACTCCAAGCTCACCAAGCCTGGGATAGAGCTCTGGGTGCTCACTCTGAAAACAGCAAGAGAAGACAATCACAGCTTTACCCAAATCTTCCTGCTGGGCAGTCCGATTTTTATGGCTTGAGGATTATTATTCACTTTATGGGATTTATCAACACTTCACTTCTCAGCCCTTACCCCTCATGTGCTCATTCTGGCCATTTCACTCATTGGCCACTTTCTCTATTTAAATAGCATCAGTATAGTAAATACAGTTTATTAGACAAGACTAGAAATTTTACTATTTATAAACTGTTACTGCTTACAGTTAAGGTTTTATAAATTAGAGGAGAGAGTCCAAAGTATTGATCAACATGGAACTTTACAGCTACTTCTAGGTTTTGCTTAATGATGGTTTTCTATGTCATGGACATTTGAAAGCAGGCTGAATTAATTTTTGAAGACTTTCTCCACCCTGAGAAAAGAGAATCAGCTATCTTCCCATTCTTAGGATGACTTAAAATTACACACACTGCTCACTAGAGTGAAGAACAGATGAAAGGTCTCTGGGGACTAAAAGGAAACCAGTGTTCACAATGCCTTGAAGCAGCTGACAGAGTAGCCAGTGGTGCGGATACACCCAACACCAGTGACTCCAGCCCTGCGCTCACCAGAGAGCAAGGCCAGGAAAGAGCCTGCAGAGCTCATGGCCACTCTAATCAATAAAAATCCATCTGCAAACACATAACTCTGTTCTGGTTCTCTCATGAATCTTGGAATTGCTCTCTTTCTTAGGAGAACATACACAAATGTCAGAGGCGGCAAGGCCTCTTCCAATCTGGAGTTTAGAAGATACCTTTATAAAACTGCGTTGGCAGAATGGGCTCTGGTATTTAGGAATAAAAACTGAAATGGAAAGGGGAGAGAAGCACTTAGAGCTGGGTTTTACAAACTAACAAGGTAGAGGGAGACGTCGGGGATCTCAGGATGATCACTTAAATGAATTTATAAATCAGCAACAAGACAGATGGCAGCAAAGCTTTGTTGCAGAATGGAGTTACAGACCCATATGCTCTTAAAACGAGGTCAAAGGACAGCACAGAACTCTTGGTCTGATATATAACTGGATGACCTCTTGCATTACCATTGTCTGGAGTGGACTTGACAAAATAATTTGAACTAATAGAACATGACTTTGTGTGCAGGGGGAGGGGGACAGCAGTGTCTGGGGGTCAAGAACAAAACCGATGCAAATAAAATGAGCTCTCCGGGTGGAGGTACCTCAGTGAAATCCTCTCCTTCCTCCTCCATCTGTTTCCCTTGCCGCCAGTGCTTCAGCAGCCACCTGAGTTTGACGTAAAAAAGGAAAATGTTCTGCTTCAAGGACCGGAGCTCCTGCTGCAGCAGAGTCCTCTCATCCGTCCAGGTCCGCTCGTGGAGGGTGTTCGGCAGAGCCAGGCTGTGCATTTCCAGTTCTTTCCACCTCCAGGCATAGAGGGGCTCCTCCTCCGTCTTGAACAGGAGAAAAGGGAGTGTGACAAGCAGCTATGCCCATCTGCCACCCACACCAAACGAACAGTCTTTGCAAACTGCCAGTCAATCCATATCATTTTGCATATGGTACGTGAAACACAGAAGCCACCAAAAGTTTAGTGAACTCCTTGAGATGCTCACTCTTTACAAAACCTTATGAGTTTTTGGATTTAGACGAACGTGCTATTTCAAGGTAAGGCATTATAATAACTTCTCAGGGCTAAGTCTCTCATTGTGTTTTTAGATGTTTCTGAATGCCTTCGGGAAAATTATTTCTTGGATGAATGGCTACCAGATTCCATCTGCCCTCCGAACCTGGGCTTGCACCCAAAGGCACACTGCAGTTGTAAAGGGGGAGGAAGTAGAAACCCTTCCCGCTGACTTCCTGGGCCCTCTGGTTCCCCTGCCCCAGCCCGACAGAAAGAGAATAGCAGGCTGAAGAGGCCCACAGAGAGCCTGAGAGCGAGCTCAGGGGCACTTTTTCTGAACACGGTGGTGAGCAAACAGGAAAGCAGGCCCGTAACCACAGCCACTTCCACGCTGAAGACTTCACATTCCTATTTCACGTGGGTAACTCTTAAGGAAATAAAAGCATTGCTGAAAAAGAAGTGTTTTCCATGTCTACATAAGTTCCTGCTTTTCCAACATAGGTCTAGGCACTTCTCCCAGCAATAAACAATTATTATATGTCAGTAATGACTAAGCAAAAGGGTATGAATAAAATCTTAAGTTACAGACAAGGGCACGGGAATAATATCTGTAGTAGCTGAAGTGGGATGAAAAAGGATTAGAGTGCCAGCCTTATCTTTATATCAGCTCTCCTCTCCTAATTTAACACTCCCTCTTGTGCCAAAAGCCAAGGCAGGGGGTTTTGTTCTGTTTTCCTAAAGTACTAGATTGATGCTCAGAAACCATGGGAATAGGCTGTCACTGCCTGAGGTTGACGAGCGCGACTGCTGTGCAAAGGCCAGAGAAGACGAGAGGCAGCTCTGGGGAGGGCCCCGGGACTGTGCAATGACTTGCGTGGTAACTGTCCTAACATCAGATTTTGTTTGCACTTCTTGCTGATGTAATTCAGCTTCTCAGCTGCCCTGAGTCCCACCATTGGTTCTCTCCCCGGTTTGGACACAAAAACGGCATGGGTAAGGGGGCAGGCTAGTGTACTGGAAATCCGGTGTTCCCAACTTACTTGCATGTTATCTTAGGCCGTTAACTGCCTCTGGTAAAGTTTCAGCTTCCTCAGCTGCAAAATGATTAGGCTAACAGGGAATGCTGTGCAGTGCCTAGCTCCAGGCAGGTGTCCCGGGGGGGCCGGGGTATTAGTCAGAGGAGGATATTCTCTTAGCACCTCCTGGAAATGCCCCTCCCTGGCTCGCACGCACCTCCCCAGGCACGGAGCCACTCCTCTGCCCTGTGTGTTAGGGGCACCTTAGTAAAAGTTGTTGGACACAATTCTGGTCCAGTTGCATTTAGGACCCTTACTTTTACTTTTCTGGCTGCAGGAAATTTTTAATTAGATATTAAGAACCCTCTGAGGCCACACTGTAAATACTGAAAAGCATGTTTTAGAGCAGAGGTAGGTAGTTATCTTTATGAGATGTCTGAGGGGGCGCTCCGCTGGATGAGCTTTCCATACACCCTCCAGCCCCGTGAGTCGAGGAGCCTGTGCACAACAGACACTGTTCTTTTAAAACATACCTCATCCTCTCTCTAGAGGGGCTCTGCAGTCAGTGACATGGTTGTACTGAAATCCATGTTGAAGAATGAGAAGGGAGCCAGGGTCCACCAGAGAGGTCTCTGCAACCACAGCAGCTTCTAGAAAGTTTTATAAACTGCTGGGGGTGATCAGAGCTGGCGGTTATGACAAAGTCAGGCATGACCCCTCACACACAGTCGGCCTCTTAGATTCACTGCCCAAGTTCATACATGTCTAAGTTGCATAATTAACTTGTTTGCATGCTTTCTTATTAGAGTTTGTCTGCCTCTCTTTTCTCCTGCAGTCCTAGCCTGGATGCTCAGAGTAACCGGGGTGGCTCCTTCAACTAACAGGCACAGCGTTTTGGGCCCCTCCACTGCACACAGTCTGTGCCTAAGAGGAAGTGCACAACAATCTGCTTGTTACATTTTAGGTTAAAAATAGTTAAAGGAATCTTTTAAAACTCTTTTTATTGGTAAAATCTATCTTTCATGCCTTTTGTGTCCAAATGGCAACAATAGAGTCAGAACTACTACTTTTGAAAGGGTTTTTTTTTCAGAGATGGAAACACTGTTATATTAAAAATCTTAGGCATTGTTAAAATTGAAGCATGAGATTTTACCCCGATTTATGCTACCTGAAGATCGGTGATTTATATAGCTAGGAATTAGAGTGGGTTGTTGCAGTAAAAACCGGGATCATTTCACTAGTTCATTCTCATTACCTTTAACTAATCTGTTATTTCTCATTGAGGATATTGTTTGCTTTTCCTAATCTGATGTTACCTGAGTTGTCATGACTGAAAATCACACCTCCAAAACAGGAAAGACAGAAAATAAAAGGGTAGATCATGTCCCTTAGCACAAGGGATGACCAAGACAGAGTTTATAGAAAGAAAGATCTAAACAGAGAAAATCAGATGCTGGGGATTCACCAACTTTTGGATAACATTTTGGAAAGACTTAAGTTCATCCTACTTTCAAGAAACTCAAGACCTACTGAGACCATTAATGCTTCTTTGATTTGTTAGTTATTAGGGATTCCTATTATAGTCTTTTCTATTTACTAGGCAAGCTTTTGGGCTCTCTTTGGAGTGGCACTTGTCCACACATTGAATTTACTCCAATTCATTTCTAAAAGTTCTATCTTATTATTTTTTAATATGTGTGGTCCTTTACAATAACGACTGACTCTTTTCTCCTGTTTGCTTGTCTTTCATAGTTTTGAACACATTTATTTTATAGTGTCTTTCTGGTAATTCTAGAGTCTGAAGGGCTTAGCATTGAATCCTGCTGTTGCGACACTGGCTGACTCCTGCGCCAGGTGTGCGTTTTTGGCTTGGGTGTTTGCAATTTTGCACTGTGAGGTAGTCTTCAATGGGGAGTTAGCTCTGATCTCATATGTGGCCTGGGCTGAGACTGTGCCTCCAGATGGGCTTTGTGCTTGCAAAAGCCAGCAACGGAACATAAACTTTCCTTTCCTTGGGGATTCCTGGACCTCCAGGTGACATCAGTTCAAAGCCTGATCCTGGCAAGGCTGGCGGTCCTTACAGCTACTTGGGGGAGACTCCATGCTGCTGGACAAGCTCCCCTGTTGCCTCTCCTGCTCAGTAGGCAGATGTTTTTCCAGTTTGGCCTTTCATGATGTGCAGCCCTTCGAGGGCCGTGGTTCATTTCTTTCCCTGCCCGTACTGGGCCCAAGGCCATGTCTCCTGTCCTCTTGTAGCTATTAAAGCCCACGGTTCAGGGGCACCAATTGTGGCAACTGTCCCCCCAACTTACCCACCTAAAGGCGACCAACACTGCTCTGGCTTTCGAATCTGAAATCAATTCCAACCCTTGAAGATTTTTCTAATTTTCTTGGAAATTCAGCTATATATTTTAAAGGACATTTTATATTTTATACAGCATTTTCTTCAACACATCTTTATTAAGCACCTATCATTCTAGGCACTATACTGGGGATGTAGCAGTTAGCAAAGCTGCCTCCAATCCCTGCTCCTGGGGCTTCCCTTCTGGCTCTTTAGGTGTTCTGCTGTGGTGTGTTTTCAGGTGACCCCAGCTGCTCCATTACGTATTACTGTATACTGTTAAAATGTAGAAATCCCCCATGTTTTAACACATTTGGTATTAGCCCAAAGTTCCATATTAGATGTTAAAATGGGCACCCTAATCAAACATCTTTTAAGAAAAGATCTATTAATTTAGTTTCTATTTATTACACTAACTTATTTAATTCAGTTTTAATTTTAATAAATAATTATTAAATCATTTTTATTTTAAGCAAACATGAGTCTCGTCCTTTGGGCACCATTTGATTAAATGTGTGTCCCTCTGTGAGGCACACCTTTGAAGGGTGGCTCCTCTGGGGCACCTGGTTTACCTACAGTGGTTCCCGGGTGCCTGCAGAGACTGGTCCACAACAGAAGCTTTTAGATTCTCATCTATTAGAAGTTTACTTTCCTTTACTGTTCATTTTTGCTAACAGAATATTAAAACTACAGACAGATAGGTGCTCCTACTTGGGATGCCATCACTCCAGTGTTACAAAACAAAATACAAACAGGCTACGGCAAAAGATTTTGTACAGAATGAGCCGACTGCCACACCGCCACACACAGGCACATACATCTGAAGACAGTTTCCACATGACACATAGCTCTCCTCCAAGAATATAAACACTTCCCTTCATTGCCCAGTTCAAAAGAGTTGATTCTAAAGCAATCCTTTGCCCACTTAGCTACGATTCCGATTACACATCAAACAAATTCATCTTCACATCTCCGGGAAGGCAGTTTATTTAAACAAATACCATCCTTCTTTGATTCTGAGGCCTACTCACCTCCACATCACAACCACCTTCCCTGTTCATGTTCTGAAACCCTCTGCCACGCTTTGCCCTCACGCCTGGGACCCACACCCACTGACAGTGCCCGTTTCCTGGACATCTTCAGGGAAAGTGGCTTGTATGTTACTTCCCATGCTTAGGAAGATAACTGCCCTACCTCCTTCTACAAAAGAAAGGAATGCTTTCCATGGCAGCCACTCTGACGCCTAGCAATGCTGCTGTGACATTAGGACTCAATGTCACCACCTATATCACCAGGGCTCTCAGTCTGGTGAGCTCCATTTTGCTCTGCCCACTTTTGTTACTGCTTCTTCCAAAAGCGGTTTATGAGGTCAACAAATGTGTACACATACTTGGCATGTAACCAACACACATCACTTTATCGTGGCTGGTATGTCACAGCTGAGGCATAAGTGACCACAAATGCTCCGTGTGCTTCGCTGATTAAAGGATCAAGGGGGAGCTACGGAAGAGAGCCCTTTGAGATTTCTGATGCAGAAACCCAATCCTCTGGGCACAGGCTTGGCTTCATTTATATCTGAAATCTGACCAGTGCCCATGCTTGGCTACTTCTCATTGAGAACTATTTTTAAGGTGCCCTGCACATTCCAAACCACATATTCTATACATTGCTCTCTCTTAACAAATGGAAATCTCGCATAGGGGCCAAGGTCAGGGAAGAATCTGGTGCGTGGTGTGAGAATCTCACTAATATCTACTGAGATGAATAGCAACAGGAATACTGGCCCCCTGAAATCTTTTTTAATTCTTTTTCTGAGCAGTTAATTTTTGTGTGGCCGCACTAACGGGTCAGTGGGTGTCAGTGGATTCTGACTTCAGCCTTCCCTGCCTGTGACTGTGTTAAGAGGCCTGGCGCGGATACACCGCTCACCTCCTACGGTTAGCGTGTGTGCCATGTGAGCAGCAGGCCTTCTTTGCAAACTTGTTATCTGCGAAAACGCTACAGCGCAAGGACGCAGATTTTCTTTTTCTCCTTTTGTTGTTATTCTTACTGCTACTGGTACTCCTAGTATAAGGAGTCATTTACCCTGGCCGAAATGTCAACATTTTCCAAAATAAGAACTTATCTTTAGAAGGTATTTCACAAATGGAACTTGAGAAATTGATCTTTTTTTAAAACCTCAGCTGAAATTCAGAAAGTTGTTTCTTCTTTTAATCCACCGATACCAGGTATCCTGTAAGTTCCCACCCCACCCCCTGAGGAAATAAGGGCAAAGAGCTGGAGGAAGTTCACATGTGGTCATAGTTGGCTTGTGCAGATAATTAGTGGTGATTTCAAGGGTAATGTAAGAGGAAATAAAGAAAACTGCTATGGGTACACCCAGCCTGAGTCTTGGCCTCATTCTAGATGAAAGCATCATGTTTTCCTTTCCCCCAGTTACTGGGGTGTCTTCAACAGGAGCAGCCTCTAAGTCAGCTGCCCTGACAGGAGCTTCGTGTAGTGTTTCCACCATAGCCATTTTACAGATGAGAAAACAGAGGCTGACCCTTGCCTGAGAAACAGCTAGTAATGGACACAGTGGGACTAGAGCCAGAACCTGGATAGGTGCCCATGCCAGGGCTGATTCCAGCACAGCATGATGGCCCTGTTAGAAATCACTAGTGCTGCAGCGTCAACAAAATGCCAGGACACGTGGCTTCCTGAGCTTTCGGTCTTGGAGATGGATCATTCAATTCATTTGAAATGTACAGAATTGTGAGTTTGCTAGTGCCCAAGCAACCAGCATTCTCAAATGAAGACCCTGTGTGGGGCAAGGATTGATCAAAGGGAAAACCCAAATATGTAGTGTTCTGTTTTACTTTTGGTATAAAACCTAGGAATGTCCTTGGAACGTCTTACCTGCAAATTTGGAATGAGAACACATTAAGTTGATATGCTGTAATACATGTCCACAGCCCGTGCTCAGAAAACATTTTTAAAAATCACAAATGCCTATTCTGGGCACTGTGAACTCCTGACTGGGAGGGCCTGGGCATCGCCACCCTGGGGACGGCATGCAGCAGCCACACACAGCACGCTGGGCTTCCACATCTTCTGGGAGCTTGGCGCTGCTGTGTGCTTGGCCCAGGGCATGCAGTGTCTCCCTGTCACACCTCCGTGTGGCCCAGTTACTTCCCTCTGGGGCACAGACTTGGATGCTACCTTTGGGTGAGCCTGGCCTCTGCCAAGGTGATGTAAAGATGGTGGGACTACACAGGCTATTTTGAAACTGTTGTTCTACTTAAGCTTTTTGGAGGAGGTTTTCATGTTACTGTGTGTCCTATCAAGGAGGGTAGAAATGTGACATACTCTCTCACAGGATAAAGGACAAGCCCCAGTGGGACTTGCAGCCTAACCAACGCATTAGCTCCAAGCTGAGCAAAAGGCCCGAGCGCTCCGCTCCTAGCGCCTTTGTGCACTTCATTTCCTAGTGAAATGCCCGATTTTCTTGTTGAGGGAGCTTCTGTTTGCTTCCAGGTGTGAGAGCTCCTCCCCTTCTCCTCCAATCTGCCCTTTGGGAGACACTAAGAAGCCTCAGAGCTGGGTGGTAACATCCCCACTGAGACAAATAAATTAAGATTCTTTATCCAGGTATTTTCTAATGTGGAATACGTTGCTCTAACCCTGAAGTAACCTGCCTTCACCATCAGTATCAGAGTCAGGGACTCACTCCTCACAACACCTGTCTTTTTGTCCTGGGTGGAATTACTTAGAGCTTTTGCTGACAGGACTGCTAACAACTGTTTCATACAACAGAGTATCTGTGGTGGCTAAGGGCTTTGTTGACAAGGGGTTACTGTGGCAACAACAGAGCCTGCTGAAGAGCTCCAGGTCAGGAGCTCCAGTGGCTAGAGTGCTGTTGCCAGAAATTATACGGCATGTGAGACACAGGGGAGGGTGTTTTCTCCAGAGTAGCACAAGCAGTGCTTGGTTTTACCCCTGCTTTCTTTACCATTTGACAAGAAGCCAGGTGATGATCACAAATCAGTCTCCTACATCTTGCTACATTTCCAGGTGCCCGCGGGCCCTGGAGACACAGGGGTACTGGTGGGATAAGGCCTGTCTGACAGGATGCATTCACCTGTGCAGACCTTCCGAGCCTGGTTCCATGCAGTGGGTTTGCTTCTAGTTAAATCCCCCTGATTCCATGTTCTCCCACTGTATTCCCCAAGGGCCTTGGACTCAGGTAGGAAGTGTGGCACAGCCAACCACACAGCACAGGGAGGGCTGGGAGGGCAGGGGGGAGTGGCCGGAGGGACCGGCCAGTTTGCTGACCTCCAGATTGAAGCAGCTCTGGCCTCCCGGCCTGCAGCTCCTGGCATCCCCGTCGGCTCTGCGGTGCAGCTCCCGTGTGGCTCGGAGGTGCAGGTGCTCCCGCTCGTCCCCTCGCTCCTGACCCAGCTGCCACTCCATCTGATCTCTCAGTTTGGACTGTTAGGTGCATGGAGGGATTTGGTTGTTTTTTGTTTTTTTAAAAATTTTAAATAAAAAACAAAGGACAAGAGGGTGAGGGTGGGGTGGGGAGGGGAGATAAAGAAAACAGAAATGGGTAAGGTAGACGACTGAGAACACTACCAGACGAAGAAAAGCATGAATAGAAAAACCAACTTGAACACAGTGGCATAAGAGAGTGAAGAGAACAGAACCAAAATGAGGGTGAGCAAAATGATGGGCTGAAAGATCTGAAAAGCAAAGAGAGAGGGGGAGGAATGCAGAACACTGGTTATGAGGCGCATGCAATGGGGGTGCGTGAGTCACAGACGCAACCACAAGCACACTACCCATGAAGGATACGGAAGCAAGGCTCCTCCTTCCTTGCTTGTGGTCGAGCAGCCAAAGCCATAATCCAGGGCGGCAGGTGGGTCATGCACCCGAGGGCGACGCATAGGAAAGCAGTCCTGGGACGACCACTCCACTCCTCCCTCACCCTCGGCTCGGGGAGGGCAGCGGGAGCAAGGCAGCAGCGAGTTTCCATCCAAACCAGCCTTCTCTCAGAGCCACGCTCCTCTCCCCCATTCTGGTTCATCTTCCAGCGGGAGTGGGGGGGCCTGGCTGCCTAGGGCCTTTCAGAACTGTCCCTTTGGCAATAAACCCGCAAACGCTCCTGAGCGAGTCTGCTAATTATCCTGACTGTGAAATGAGTTTGTGCTTCGGTTTAAACGCCTCTTTGCTTCTTCATCAGGATAGCTGGTCGTTTGAGACACCAAAAAAGGAGAAAGGATGGGCTGCTTCCGTCCCTATCTCTTCCACTGGGACTGGCCTTGCGTCATGAGGGAAGACCTCTAAGCCGAGAGCAATGGCGCAGTTAAAAATAAGAGAGGAGCAAGGAGAAAGAGACAAGGAAATAAAAGAGAACTTAAAAAAAAGAAACCCAACCAATAGAAAGGATTTGGTTGACACTTGAGGCTTTAGTACAATGCAGGTTTGAAATCACAACCAAGCAGCCGTGAGCAGAATGAGTTCAAGTGCAGCAATGCCAGCAAGAAGGAAGAGCAAAACCGAGCAGGGAGGCAGAGCCAGGAGCCCCCTTACCTGCAACTCTGGGACCAGCTCCTTCCCCAGGTTCCCGATGGGGGAGTCCCGGGACACGGAGGTCACCGTAGAGAGGAAGCTGGACGACTCTGTGAGGTGGGGCAAGGGGGACAGGCCTTCCAGGCGCTCCCTTAGGCCGTCCCCGATCCGGTTCACCTGCTCCAGGAAGGCCTGGAGCTCTTTCCTGAAGGCCTTCATCCTGGCATTGATGGTCCCTAACAGCTGGGGCTCCTTCTTGTCCCCCTCCCCCTGAACACCAGGCCCCGGCGAGGCCAGGTCGTCCACAAAGCCATTGGTGTCTGTGATGAGGCTGTCCACGGTCCGCTCCAGCCGCTCGGCCTCGTGCTTTATGCTCACCAAGCACTCGGAGTCCTCCCTGGCCCTGAGGACCTCCGCCGGACACGGCTCGCTGGCCTCCGACGGCTTCCCGCTGCTGAAGCCTGACGTTTTCTCGAACGTCTCCTCCGAGTCGCTCTCACCGCCAATGGGGCCCTCCCGCCTGGGCTGGGGTAGGCGGCCCTCCTCCCCGTCGCTCTCCTTCTTGCCCGCGTCGCTGTCGGCGTCGCTGTCCCGGGGGCTCGGGGCGCGCAGGCCCAGGTGGGCGGCCAGGTCGCAGCGCTGCACGTTGGACAGCAGCACGCGGTTCTCGTACTGGAGCTTCAGCACCTTCCCGCTCAGCTCGCTGATCTGCAGCCGCGCGGACTTGAGCTCCTCCTGCAGGGGAGCCCCACCGCCCGCGCCCTTGCCCCCGCCGTCCGCCAGCCACCCGGGCTCCGGACGCGGTTCAAACTTGAACTTGCTCAGCTCGTGAGTCAGCTGCCGGTTGTGGTCTTCGATCTCAGATATGGACCTTCGAAGCAGCTCCGCTTCCTCCTCCACAAACTGCAGGTGCCGGCGGAGCTCTGTGGAGGACTCCAGGGAGTCACCAAAGGGTGAGGTAGGAACGCTGGGCATGTGGTCCCGGCCTAGGCCCTCTCGCTCGTACTGGCCCCGCATGTCCTCCATCTCTGCTTTGAGACCTCGGTTCTCCACTTCCAGTTCCACGATCTTCCGGCCCAAGATGTTGGCTTCCTCCTCCACCAACTTCAGCCGTAGCTTCAGCTCTGCCTCCCGGGTGCTGGGCGGCCCGCCGGCCTCGCCTGTGGGCAGGGGGCTGTCCACGTCGCCGTACAGGGCCTTGTACTTCTGCAGCTCCTGCTCCAGGTCCTCCTTCTCCCTCCCCAGCTTGGCCATCTTTTTGCGCATCAGGGAACCTTCCTCTTTGGCAAACTGAAGCTGGCATTTCAAATCGGCACTGTCATCCTGCCAGGAAAGAACAGCCCGAGAAAAGGGTTATTTGAAAATACCGAATGCTCGTGTTTTTGATGATTTCCCTCGCACCTCGCCCCCAACACACGCACAAACACAACACACCGATCTTTCTGTCAGTGCATCGGGTTAGGGTAGAAAGGGCCAAAACAAAGCCAAGGGGAGCTGGGGACTTCACAAAGTCTCCTGCTTTGTCACAGACACAAAAGAAACCAAACAATTAGTTTGGAAGAAACGTGCACATGAAAACCATCATACAGGTGATGAGTGAGAGTGAGAAGATGAAATGAAACTCAACACCCGCTGGTGATCCCGTGTTACCTTGTGATCCAATGTGACTCATGACCAGTGTCGGGGGGAGAGAGCAGAACCCCTTGCTAAGCCTGGTGCAGGCAGACGGGCTTCTGTAGTCACTTCCACCTGTTGCCACTCACTCCACGGTGCACACTTCCCTTATCCAAAGTGGTCAGCAACCCACAGGTAGTACCAGGGGGGAGCCGCCAGGTGACCCCAAATCAGGGCCAGGCTTTCCACTGACTAGCTGAGAACCTGAGACATGGCAACTCACCTCTCCCTATCCCCTGGTCTCCCTACCCCCAGTGTATCACAAGGATGACATGAGGACAAAATTATGAGATGATAGGCATGAGGGTGCTTTGGGAGTCAAGGTGTGGAGTAAGTACCAAACTCTGACAGTTAGTATGAGTTGGTTACTGCAAACCTAAGCACCTGGGTTACTCACAACCTTCCGCCATGCAAGTGCAACTTCAGAGCCTGGGGTTACGTTCCGCTCCCTTTAGTTGCTATAACACAGCAGGAAAGTAAGCTCAGAAACCCAAGGCAAGGAGGTAAGTGTTTCAAAACCTGAGATGTAGTTCTTATTGGACTACCAGAGGATTCTGAGGGTCACAAACACGGACTCTCTCTCCTAAATGCCCACACGGTTTGGCTGAGGTCAAGAGGCACTTTTTGGCCAATTGGAAAGTTGACTCTGCCTTTACCATGCAGCTCTCAAAGTCATGAAGCGACATGAACCTGACTTGGGCTTGCACATAAGTTTTCTGTCACATTCAATGGGGAAAATGACCACTTTCATGAATCATTTCTCTCTGATTGGCTATCAGGAGTTTCAAAGGGCTGTCGTAGAGACAAAGACTTCAGCAGAGGCTTCCCCATCACACAGAGAAACTCAACAGCATGCTGGAGGGTAGTCAAACCCATCAGCCTCAGCAGAAGAGGAGTCATCAAACCAATGTGTGGAACAAGTCAACGCTCTGGGGGAGAGTGAACTCTCTGAGATCATACTTTGTGCTCAAACGGCCTGGTAGAGTTGACACAGCTTTCACACTCATGCTCTGCCAATGTTTTTGCCACACTCTCACCATTAGTCAGAAAGATACAGAAAGGCCTCCCTTGGCGACCCCCAACTTTCATCCGTCCACCCACCTAGACCCCTCTTCCCCACACCACAAATCTATGGAAGTTAAAAAAAAAAA